AGGTTACATTGTTGTTTAGCACAATTGTACTGCGACTATAGTAGGCCCATATCTTATTGTTTAGTGAGGATACGTGTTCATCAAATATCCATATTTTCCTTTGAATCACAGTTAGCAGTTCCGATTACTGTATCCTCCCCTGATATTCTTTTTTTTTTCAATTCATATCTTTTCCCAGATGTTGACTACTGTGACGGTGATCCTGAAAGAAGTCTATTAGGCCCCCCAAAAAATATTCGGTCTCTGGTCAGACCAAAGTTCCGGAATTGACGCGGCCACCCGGCTTTTTTTTTTTTTTTTGCTTTTTCTTCAAGCTTGGATTGCACAGACAAGGTGGGTACTATTTTGCTTTTTTTGTGTGTCCTCATGTACATTGGTGTCCTCCATAATTTGCCTTGGTGCTTTCGATCATTTGCCTTGGTGCAATTTTTCCATTCCTTGTTGCTCTTTGGTAAACAAAATTGAGAAGGTCAGGAAATAGAGCATTTTGGGGAAAAAAGATCGACGCGCATGATTAAAATCGACGCGCGCGCTGACCAGAGGCCGACTTATTATTGTTTTTGGCCTTACCAATAATTGTTTACTGCTAAAATCGCTGACATTTTGTTGACTGAGAGATACATATTGACTCCCAAGAAACAAATGATGATGTGGCCACAACGACTGATTCTAATTTGTTTAGCGTTCACCACAATGGTTTATTTAATCTCTCACTTCATAACAACTCTGTGCGGATTGCTTCAATCTGAGACATTTCCTTGGCAACGTTTAAGTTGATTAGGTCGGCGTGTAATACATCTCCCAAACTATACTTCAAATACACTCACTGGCAGAACGAAGTCAGCCGATAATTCATAGCTGAATTAACCGTATGGTCCTGGTATTGGGCAATTGCGGAGACGGCCGGGCTGAAGCAGAAGTAGTCTGCTATGATACGGTGATGGGGAACAACAGTTGGCTGGGGCCAGCGAATGAACCACACCCCACTACATTTCCAACCAGGGTGTGCATGTCGTAGGCGCAGCAAGGTAATTTTTTTATGGGGGAGGGGAAAACACCTCGTCAAAAGGCACTCGCACATCCGTGCTGCAATTTTCACCTTTTTTTTTTCTCCAGACACGTGGCCCCCGTCAAATCAAACAGCTGGCGCTACTCAGGACGGCAAGACTGCCGTCACTTGGCCCAAATATAAAAAGGGCAGTCGCAAAAGGCCTGTGTTGACAAAAAGACGCTTTTTAATTTTTTTTTAAAGGGCACTTGTCTATAAAAAAAATGCACTTGTCAAAAAGGGCACTCTTCAAAAGTACTTGAGGTGGGGTTAAACGCTGTTGAAAAGAGGCACTAGAATGGAAAATGGCAGTCGTTTCAAATATTATTGGGAAGATAATGCTGGCCTACAACAACCGCCTTGGAGGGATCGATAACAATGAGAATATGTGGTTTTTAAATAATCACATGTGTAAATAGTATTAATATTGTTCAAATGTGGATGCCATACCCCAAAAAGTGCCGGGGCAGAATCCACCCCCTCAACTTTTTCTGCGATAGCCTTATTTTTTTCTCGGGACCAGAGCTGTTTTATATGACTTGAGCCTTGCGCATCGTTTAATACCCAAAACATTAAAATTGGACCAGGGGTTGCCGCGTGGCGAAACATTTTCCCATATACGTTACGTGCACAGAGCAGAAATTACCATTTAAACATATGAATAATTAATTAGCCATAATCCCAAAACCCTTTGACCTAAAGTCATGAAAGTTCTTGGGTACGTTCATTATGAATTTTCCTATGCATGTACCGAGTTTCAGAGATGGCTCGAGATGGCCGAGATCTCGGGGGAGGACCCCCCCCCCCTCCCCCGGCTGAGAGATGGTCAAAATAACCCGGCCTGATTAGGGATACAGGTGTTAACCTTATCTTACAAAAAAAACACAACAAAAAATACACTAGAGGTTGTAGGAACAACCACACGGTGTTGGGCCATGGATTACCGCAAACTTTGCCACACACATCAACTAAAAATATGCATGTTTAAATCCATGTTTGACTTTTCAACATGCCGCCAGGGGGCGCTCTAACATTTGATGACGTCACCTGTGAAACGTTTGTACAGTACTGCATAGGCAGACACTCGTTTCGTTGAAAACAAGTTCGCATCTTCTGCCAATTTCAATTAATAAGGCACTTCCAGTTTCGACCGGAAGGAAGGGTCACGTGATTTTGCACTTAAAACCAAAATTGAAAACCCTGCAATATTTTATCGATTGCCATAAAAACAAAATTAAATTGGAGCAGTTGATTTTATATTGATTTTCAAAGAATAAATATGAAAATATTTATTTGCTTGTAATATGACACTTGATGACGTCATTGTGACGTCATCGCCAGAAACCTCCAGAGCCATATTTACTCTGCTATATATAGCCACATCTTGATTAAATCTCTCACGGTTGATTTTTTTAGCAATTGTTTAAGGTTTAAAGGTCTTTTCTTTATAACTACCGGTCTGATGACGTCATCATTTCTTTTTTCGCGCACAGGTCTTTTCTGCATTAAGTTCATCATGTATGTGAGGTTTGAAGCGATTACCGCAAATTTCGCCACATACATCAACTACTCAACCCACCCCTACTCCACCCCCTTATAAAAAATCAAATCTTCATGTAAATCACGACATATCACTTTATAACATTACGACCATAAGCAAAACAATTGACACACTTCCAAAGCCAAACATTATCAAAATTATGGTTCATTTCTTTTAATCTCTTATTTTGTCATGCTATGAACAAAAGTAATAAGCAACCGTCATTGTTCTAAAATCCAAGTTAACTGCCAGATTACCGCACTTTGTATTACAATTCCATGTCAACTGCAGTTGATTACAACGAAAGTTTGTTACCATGAACAAGTCAAGTCAAACGTTAAAACGAGTGAATTCTTAATCAATGTCGTCAAATCTCTTTTTTAGGCTGGCTAGATACAAGCAACAATTTAATTGATACCATTAATTTATACACCAAACAACGGAACTACGCCATTTGGATGATGTGTTTACGACATGTTTTAGTCTTCAGGTTATGCGGCTATTGCGTGTGTTAGGACGAATAAAAAGTATTATGTGTGTTCAAGTACAAATTTAACATGAAAAGTGTTTTATCAAATATATCTACCAAATTAATTCAGTTTCAACCTGAACATACTTTTGAGAAGTAAAATCTGAAAGTTATGCGGAAAAATGAAAGCAACAAACGATCAAAACAAAGGTAAAAAAGGGCTCTGCAATTTACGAGGTTACTTTTTCGGTAATCAAAGGGGGAACGCAAAATACCATTCGTAACGTTTAATCGCAAATTACCAATGGAAACGTTATGTACTGCTTTAGTTTACTTCGTTGATCATAAACTGTGATTTACCGATTACTATTCAAACTAAACAGTTTTCTTTCGGATAATCAAATATTAGTCTTGGGAAGAAACAAAACTTGTATTTATTATAAGAACCTGTCCACACGAATACGGAACATCCAATGAAAAAAATGCTATAAGATCATTTAAAACACAACAGTTCACAATGCAACCAAAACAGGTCCCACAACACACAAAAACAACAACGAAAATATGCAATACCAATGAATGTTGTGTACATGCAATTGTACAACGTTTACACACTGTAATCTATATGCAAACCATTTGTATACACAAAAATCGGAGTCGAATTTTTCTAATCTAATTCAATAAAAATGAATTCATAAAAGGTGTAATAAATTCATAAAAGGTGTTTACCATGTTCCTTGTAGAATAAAGCACTGTACCTCCAACATGGAAGTAATGCAACGGGTCCATATTAGATCGATTAACCGGAAAAGCAATGTAAAGATTCCACTGTTGTCATCGGAAGCTGGTACGACATTTGCGTTTTCTTCAGACAGTATATACAGAAATTATAGCGTTGCTGAACTTGCTGTTGAAACCCCTCAGCCAGAGTCAAGTAATCATCCGTGACCTTGACCGTTGAACTTTGACCCCAGAACCAATCCCAACATGCCTGTACCAATGGGCAACCCCTACCGAAGTTAGACACCAAAATCTCATTTCCAACATAAGTCATCATCCACAAACCATTTAACTTTAACTCCCCCACAGTGACCTTGACCTTTGACCTTTTGACCTGAAAACCAATCCCAACTTGCGTACTTATGAGGGCAACCCGCTACCGAAGTTACAATCCCAATAATCATTTCTAACTCAAGTTATCATCCGGAAACTAAGCTGCCTGGACACTCTGGCCTAACGGACGGACAGACGGACAGCTAAATATTTCATTTGCGGGGTACCTCGAACAGGTACCCCACAAGTGGTCCATGGTAAGGGTTTCTCGGTGGACGGACGGACAGACGCCGTAGGCGTACGCGTTGACAGTACCCCTTGAGCCTCTCGGCTGAGGGGTAAAAACTAACATACATGTTTTAAGTGTGGATGCGTTTCAAAACCAAGATTGTATCTCTATGTAAGGTTGACAAGACATGCAATTATCGCTTAGAGTCACCCATCAAGATTTCTGAACAAATATGGCTGTGTATCAATATTACCTATAAAAATGTAATTTTAAAGAGTCAAAGTCGATACACATACCGGCGAATGGGAGTCAACTTCGTGCAGTGGTTCTTTCCTCACCTTGCACATATGCGACACAGATTCAAATTATGCCTAGTGTTGACATGTGGATAGGGTTTATTGTCTCACTCTATGGGGTTTGCGTGGAGCTTTATTCTGGGTTTCTTACCACCTCATTGTCCGAATATTTCTTCATTGTATTCACGTTGTCATTTTCGTCAAGCATTCGAGCTACTATTGCTTGCTCACTTCCGTAAACTAAAGAAAATACTTCCAAGAAAATTATGGAAAGATGGGGATATCTTATAGAACAATGTGTATAGACCGTTTTCAACCGTTTGTTCGGAGCTAGGGAGTGACATGCCAGTCAGCGTCATGCTGAATTACACCTTGTGATATATCTTAACTGAATGGAGGTCAGCCACTGCCAGCTGCTGCCCATCGGCTGTGAATGCGATTCCTGTGGGATTGTATAGTCCCTGGGCCACACAGCTGACAAACTGACCTAAATCATCATAGTGGTGAACGTGACCGCTGTTGACGAAGCCTGTGCTCACCACAAGGTAGATACCCGAGCTGTTGCTGCAAACACCCGCGCAGTGATTCACTGGATCGCCGTCGATGGTTGGTCGGACGGTGGCGACTTCAGCAGCTTTGCCATCAGACACATCCACTATGCCCGCTAGTCCCTCTTCATAGTCACTGATCACAATCCAACCATTGCTCAGTACAGACAAGAAGTCAGGTCGTATCGAAACCGGTATGGTGCGTATGAGTTTGCCCCTTTTTCCCGACTGATGTTGCGTCAACACCTTCCGTTTGATATCGCCGGCTATGATGTCTCCATTCTGCATGACTGTTACACTCACGAGGCGTACCTCTGTCTTGCCAACCTCACTCTCAGCTACTGTCTTGAACTCATATGCTAGCGTCATGTATCTTGTGTACACCTTGACGTCTCGTTGGCTAGCAACCACCCATCCATCCGGCATAATCGTTACGTCATCTGAAAATAAAATTGAGAAACTGAAATGGAGTTCTACCTGAATGGGTAAAAAAAAATACAGGATTCAAAAAAGACATCTCAGGTTTTATTACTATAAAACAAATCTCGACGATAGCCAGCATAGAATCTACACAGATTGAACCAGCCATATCAAAACCTTGGGATAAAAAGAAAAGAAAGAAATTATCTAATTCATTGATTCGCTTTAAAAAATGTGGGTTTTTTCGGTCTTAACTCATGATACCTAAAAACAAACATGGAACACTTTCCTGCAATTTTGTTGGTAAAGTCACTTAAAACTGTAGTCTGAAACACTGAAGTAACGTATACCTTTTATACAACTGATAGTTAGTGGCCAAATCCCATTGAGAATCATGTCAGTGTCAGTATGTATAATGGATGCAAGGGAGGTACCGTCACTCATATTACATCACTTGCATTACTCCCTCTTCGTTGTTTCTCACACGGTAATAATTCTAAATTTTCCAAACGGAAACGATTTTTTTGGGCAAATGTATGTTTTGTTTAGAACAATTGTGCAATTACTTCATCACTCGAATAAAAGCTTTTGTAGTTCTCTTTAATTTGACATTTGAGACTGTGTTTTTGTTTGATTGGAAGAGTTCGAAGAGTTCCCTATTTTAGCTTTCTCCACTAATTATTTTTCAATTTTTAAGGAATATTCATAATTGTATATGTAAGACCAGGCTTTGAGTCTAAATGAAATGCGTTCAAGTCAGATAACTTACCTGAATCTCCGGAAATGTAGCCTTTAATTCCCCCCTGATTGTTACAGATGACGAAGCGCCTGTTTTTCCAGTCCGTCACAGCAATCTCGTCAGGTTCAGCAGCAGCAGCAACTCCTCTGGCTGTTTCAAACTCCCCTACACCTTGTCCTTGTTTCCCAAATTCATGACACAGCTCCCACGTGTCCTCCATCACCACCTTACCAAGATCGACGGCACCAATGTTTTGACTCCGTTGAAACGTTGGGTATACAAGTTTGACGTCGCTTTTGGGAGGACGTTCGCAACCACGCTTTTGCAACTGCATGCGTATGTCAGTGTAGCGGACCAAAAAAATGCTGCTAAAGTCTTCCTGATTGGCAGCCTCGGCTACAGCCAACGTATGCAGTTTCTGTTTCTGCAGTTCAAGCAGTATTTTCCTTTTCTCTTCCAATGTTTGTCCGTTATCCTTTTCTCGTTGTTTCAGTTCATCCAAAACTCGTTTCTCTTCTGCTTCGACTTCTTTCATTGCCCGAGCAGCTCTGTCTTGCACGACGCCTAATGCCTGAGTAACTCGGGAGCTGAATGTCTGTTCGGCTTGAGATATGGACATCAAATTTTGGTCTATTTTGACCAAGTCTGTGTTGAGTAACTGCAACTTATCGTTCAAGTCATGTTTAAATTTTGCCGAAGCTTCTTCAACAGTAACGTAATGATGAGATTCATGATCGTCACGTAACGAGCAGAACCTGCAAATCAGTTCTTGACATGTTTCACAGTAAAACTCTTTCTTGTACTGATGCTCATCACACGACGTGGTCTCAGCAAATCCTTGTAGTTTTTTTGCACCGTCGCCCTGGTGAATTCCTGTGAAGTACAATAATATTAGAATTCACCTTATAAAGTTTCCCATAAAAACAATAATCCTAACAGAAAGCAGTTGTTCACCTCTATTGCAATAAGTGTCACAAGAGCTGTACCTTTTGCTCACAGTGTCATGCTCGCCGAGTTTCATTGAAAGGTGATTTAACGGCCCATTTTCAAGTTGAAAGGGAAACGACATTTGCAAATACCAAAAAAAAAAAACGTCAAAGTTTTACGAAATACCTTACAGGATAATGGTAAATGACAGTCTAAAGCACCCTGTAAAATAATGGCACCTGATGTGAAGTTGTTTTCAAGAAAATGGTATTTTTTGTATACATTTCCAACGATGGTTAGCCGACCACCTTTGGAAAATCCTAACTATCTTTCAACCACTGCTCCAAATTTACCCTTGTTTCAGTCCAACTTTTGGTTAGTTTTCGTTGCATGTTTACGAATGAATGCAGGCCAGCTAGACCGGTTCCCTTAACGTACAATTTTCCGGCATCTTAAAATTGATCAATTTCATCTTCAGTGGAGTCAGGGAACCAGACTACTTAAACATATGGGGTTTTTCTTGGTTTCCCAGCATTTTCAAACACAAAACGTCAAAATGTAAGTGTAACAATAATTTGATCTATTATACTGAACTCCTTAAATAGTTCATTTCTGAAAATTAAAGCAAAAGCCAATGATGTACATTCGCTTTAATACCATATTTTGATTTTAATGCAAACATAGTTAACTTTTGAAGGAGATAAACAAAACAATATTTTGCCCACGTTAGGTATGGACTATTTATTTTACAAACAGGGGAACTATTATGCATCCCAACAACAATTCAGGAGTAACGATTGTTTGCATTAAGGGTGCTAAGGCAATCCGAAACAAAGGTGTGTGTTTTTTTAAGAGGGAACAAAATAGAGTTTTCTTTTGAAATAAAAATGCGCAATTAAAACCGACAATTTTCAATGTAAATGGTTTTCGAGTACATTTTGTAAAAGAAAAATGATCCGGCTACTGGCAATGCTTCTTGGAGATAAGATGGAAGTACCTAACAAATCATCAGCTAGATGCTCTCTGCCAACTTTACGCAAGTGGCTTGACAGTGTTTTAACCTGAGCGTCAGGGGTTAAAGGACTTTGTTGTCTCCACTCGACCAGCATGCTGAACATTTGCTCTTCTGTTTGTTGTGGATTGTCACTCTCTAATCTGTAGATTTGCGCATTGCTGAAACCGAGGCGTGTAGCTAAGTTTTTCCATGCCTGACCAAGTTCACTAGCCAGCTTCCGCAAGAGTACATCAGTCAGCTCTAAATGAAACGACAAGGTAAAAGTAATCAAATGACAGAGCGCGCAAAAGTCTCAACAATAAACATTGGCCAGTCACTGACAGTATTTTAAAGCTTCTTGTGTTGATAATGGACCGGATTTAGCCCGATAACTAGCTGGTAAAATCATGTATGTACGAGGCACCAGCCCACAGGCACAGTGGCGTATCCAGCGGCGGGAAGAGGGTGTATTGGGTATTTTAACCCCCCCCCCCCCCGCCGTAAATAATTACTACCCAGGTGCCCTTATTTCAGCAGCAGTGACCCCCCCCCCCCCCGTAATATTTTATACAAATTGCTTTTTTTTTTAAACACAAGTGTATTTTTCGAGTGCCCTTTTTGGAATTTCGCGCAAATGTCGGCAATTGTGCTGCCCGAAAAAGCGCCACATTTTGTCCGATAGTGCCCATGACCTTCCTGTTTGAACAGCGCTAACATGGGAATTATTGTAGCACCCCTACACTTACATTTTTTTACGGCGGCCCAGTGATAAATGAGAGGAAAAAAAATATATGTTTCAGCACGGATGTACGGTGGCCCTGGTACGACATTTTAATATTGACCTTCTTAATACGAACCTTGTAACTCCTAAATGTTTACGTTGTACGTTCGCAATATGCACGTTGCACGTACTTAATATCGTATTGTGGAAGTAGTTTCTGCTTAATGTGAATGTGCCATCTTGTTAATGTTCACGTTTGATCTTCTTAATATACACCATTGATCATGCTTGATGTCATCGTTGCACCTTCCTTTTTCGCAATATGAACCATGTACCTTCGTATTGTGAACGTTTGACCTTGCATCTTCTTAATATCATTGTTTAATCGTCCTCCTTCGCAAAGTGAATCATGCATCTTGAAAAGTACAAAGTCCTTGCCAAGCCCTACACTTAAACAACCAGTTATGAGGGAGTTTCAATCTGACGGCTGTTTAATGTCACTTAACCTGTTTCTACATTGTAGTGAGTTTTATCATGAATCAAAGCTCTCTGTTTTAATTCACTCATCTTTTACAATTCATGTTCATGATATTGTGCGCTGTTTCACTAGAAAAGAAGTCTGTTTAATTAATTAGACTAATTAATTTCTTGACGGTATACTCTCCGTCAATTACAAAAATGCAAAACAGTGTTCTGTGATCACGTTGAGAAGGCTTTTATCGTAATACTTTACATCCTTCTATCCCTTTCCCTATGGATTCGTCTTGATATCCGCGTATTTAATTAGTATAAGAGTATGATCTAAAGAAGCAATTGAAAGGACCATCATTTATTTGCGGTGGTACCGTTACGAAATAATGTCCACGTCTTTTAAATCAATAACAACAATAGTAAGGACATACTTTGATATTTATTACTTATGGGAAATATCGGGGATTTCACCAACGGTCCCATTCCCGTCAATCATTGCAAAAGCGATAGCGCGCGGGGCACAGGTGGCTTCCGTCAATTATTTTATTGTTTATTCAGTGCATTCCCCCGCAACATTTTACTCGAGTTTGTCTAGGGGATGGATGTTTTCATGGTTTAATGCGCGATTACCCGCCTCTGCGATAACCCGCCACCGCGAGAGAGCGTTATCACGACCACACCGTTGCGTTGAGCGCGAAAAAACGTGTTGCCGGGGCACCCTATACGAAGTTGTTTGCTTGGAGTCAGCCAATTGCACATATTCTTCATGGGGGGGGGGGGGTGGTTTTACTGAGCAGTAGACCGAAAACCAAAATGCTAGTCAAAACAGCGGGGATTCTCATACTATTGACAAATCCGTAGGGATAGGGATTGAAGGATGTAAAGTATTATGATAAAAGCCTTCTCAACGTGATCACAGAACACTGTTTTGCATTTTTGTAATTGACGGAGAGTATACCGTCAAGAAATTAATTAGTCTAATTAATTAAACAGACTTTTTTTCTAGTGAAACAGCGCTCAATATCATGAACATGAATTGTACAAGATGAGTACATTGAAACAGAAAGCATTGATTCATAATCAATGCTCACTACAAGGTAGAAACAGGTTAAGTGACATTAAACAGCCGTCAGATTGAAACTCCCTCATAACTGGTTGTTTAAGTGTAGGGCTTGGCAAGGACTTTGTACTTTTCAAGATGCATGATTCACTTTGCGAAGGAGGACGATTAAACAATGATATTAAGAAGATGCAAGGTCAAACGTTCACAATGCGAAGGTACATGGTTCATATTGCGAAAAAGGAAGGTGCAACGATGACATCAAGCATGATCAATGGTGTATATTAAGAAGATCGAACGTGAACATTAACAAGATGGCACATTCACATTAAGCAGAAACTACTTCCACAATGCGATATTAAGTACGTGCAACGTGCATATTGCGAACGTACAACGTAAACATTAAGGAGTTACAAGGTTAATATTAAGAAGTTCAATATTAAAATGTCGTTCCAGGGCCACCGTACGGATGGGCTTCTCCCCTTTTTCACGTCCCCCTTCTAAAATGGAACCTGCACAGGACACAAGTCCTGCAAGTAGAAAAAAGTGTGAAATCACATGCGAATGGACTCCCCAGTTGTGAGGCCGATTTTCTCGGTTTTACCCCACCTTATGTAACCATACACATCCATAAGAAAACAAATTATAGGAATTGCGCCTCTTTGGCGGGTATTTATGAACTACCAGGGTGACGTGATCAAAACAAGAAGAAGAAAGAACACCATTCCGAAAGGCTGAGACTTTATGGCACGTCTATGTCAACTAAAAGGATGAATACTCATAATTAAATACAGGAACCAAAACGTGATAGATAAAATATTGCTTTCGCCATTGAAAAGGGTCTCCAGTGTACATTTAAAGCGTGCTTTGATCGGTCAATAGGGTCTAGCAAGAATCATGAAACATAACACTTTGCAATATTTTTTTTGTTTTTATAGGAATGAAATTTCTCAAAAGAAATAAGTCAAAACAATAACTAGATTATCAACTAGGACGGATTTACATCGGACCATCAGAGTATACGTCTGATCCCCTGATGTAAATCAGAGTTAAAAAAAAAAAGGCTATCCCGTCGGATTTTTACCTGTAACACAGGTCTTACGCAGCCTCTTCACACCAGTCGTAATTTCCTCGTCATCTCCGACCTGTGTACTAGCTTCTACCGACGTTCTCTTGGCGGTATCCCTTGACGTGTCCATTTGACTGGAAAAGAATCAGCGTAGTTCTAATTTACACATAGTTGTGACGTAATATTGATGAAATCACGCAAGTCGTTAATTAGTCTTCAATTACACTTTGCCACCTTCAAAATGTTTCTGAGACATTCCTTTAGTAGTTTACGTTTTGATTCTAAGAATAAAACAAGTCCTAGTTCTTACACAACACCTGAGGGGTAACTCTTTTTTTTTAAAGAGGTTTGTTGGTCTTGGTGAACTTTGGCGACCTACGTTAAATGCTTTACCTTTGCTTTACCTTTGCTTTACAGAGAAAAGTCTCTAGAAAAGTCTCAAAATGTTTACAATGCCGTTTTGATATGTTCACTCAACCATTAGAGGGGTTCACGTCAAAGCAATGAACATCTCTATAGGCTTAAAGCATTACAGGTGAATGTTATCTGTACCCTTATACAACTTATTAGAAACGGCATTATTTTCCCATTTCGTATCGGTCCATTTACATGCATGTCTAATGCCTTTTGTTTTCCATAACATAAACCAAAGATAGGCTTTACGTCTTGTGAAAAAGTGAAGAAAAAAAACGCTCACTGAGATTTGAACTCGATCACCTGATTACAAGTCAGGACTACTGAACCAGTCCACGAATCAGTGGTTGAACAGCATTATCCCTTGTTATATAACTTGTTCTCAAAAGCCCTGGAAATCATCAATATGCATAACGCAGTGAGAGCGCCCTCTTTTGATATTGTCCGATCCCGTTTGGGTTTGACGCCGTGCAACTTCCGCGCCTAACTTAAATGAAATAAGTGCAGCAATAGCTGTCTATGGCACTACAGTTGCTCTAAATGCCGAACGTAATAGTCGAACCTTAATGCATACTGAGTAATGGACCGTAATTAAAGCAGTTCAAGCAGATTAGTGAACTTTCAGCGCGGTAAAACTATTCGCAGCAATTTACATCCCCCCCCCCCCTGCAGACACGGGAGAGGGTATTGTTAGCGTGCGCATTTTTGAAAGGTTTGCTATAACTTCGGATTGGATTGAGTTTGGCATTCGGTTCAGTTCCATTCATTCTGCGGTGTGCAATAGCACTGACATTGTCTGTACATGTTAAAAACATTTTTTTTTAATTACTCCGTCTTTATTTTCTTAGTCAAAACATTTCATATTCCACAAATTTGAGACATAGTTAAAAAACAATTGTTGGTCTTTTTAACTAAAAATTCTTAGGCAAAATCAGACCCAGGATTAGGACAACTCCCATTATGATTTGTTATGTCCAGCTCTAAACACCAGTGTTGAGAAGTATACGCTCCTGTTATTAAAAGGCCATCAATCATCCATTTTTTTGTGATGCAGGTAATGTCTCAATGCTGTTCAAAAAATGATTTCCCCAAATGTTGTAGTTCATCTTAACGCGTCACGTAAAACCGTACGTATTAACGTTCCTTGGTCTTGACACTGATGCACCTAATCCATTATCCCAGTTCTTGACTCCTGAATGTAAGCTGCGGCGTGGTGATAATTTTTTTAAGTGATCTCACACGAAAAAAAATGTCAGGGATGTGAAATCTGGTGAACTTGTGGCCATATTCGACTCGGTAGAATAAAGAAATAACCCCGTCCCAAAAATTCTTCCATCGACGCCCCACAGAAACAAATCCGAGACCACCTCACCAATCCGAAAAATCCACGTCGCGACGTGGAGCTTCAACTGAAACTCAGCTTTAACTGTAGTACCATAAAGTGATTGATAATATCCAGATATGTTATATGCGGCCTGTCCAACCATGATTTATTATAACGGCAAAATGATAACATTTGTCTACCAAGCAGGTAAACACTTGCCAGAGTGCTTATTTTGACTTCTTTTATGCCTATAGAGGCCAAGTTTGATCAGACATATATGGTAATGACGTAATGACAACTGGGCAATTTTTTCAGGATATTGTTTGTGTTTACAGCAATAGTCTTACTGAGCCTTATCAAGATGCAACGAAAACAAGCGCTGTTGTGAAATTTGATTTCAGCAGGCATTCACAAAAATCTTGCATGTCATGAAGTAAAAAACCATAGGGTTTCAGACCAGTAGACTGGCATATACCTCAATGGTAGTTACAGGTACCTCCCAAAATTATGAAATTCTACTCACAACTCCAAATGTTCACTACACGCATCAAATTAAAGTCCTCATCTTCTTAATTTATTCATATGTGTTTATTTATGTATTCATTTATCTATTTATTTACTTTGGGGGAGGGGGCCGCGGGTTAATCTGATGACTCTGAAGAATGATCACCCTTACAAATGGTACCGAAGACCTCACAATTTTGGGGGAAAAAAACATGCAAAACAGAGCGCTTTTAGTGCCCAATTTCATTTAAATTTCACAGAAATACAAGGTCACAATCCTTTGCACGGCTTCCACCTTTTTTTTACCAACCATCAAGTTCATGGACCACACAATCCTCTAATACCGAAGAATTTGAGGGCAGGCAAATCGTGATTTGACGGCGTACGCAATTTTGGGCCTTTTTACTGGTCTGGACCCTGTAGAATTCCATGTTTGCTCCGTCATTTCATGGCAATGACGTACTAACATTTAATTTGGTCAAAGAAATCCTGGCCTTCTTCATGACATTTCTGATAATTTGCATTATGGGTATACATTATTTTGAGACACCATGTACGCAGTTTACCAACTACATAAGCTAGTACAATAAGGAGGACCCGATACACTGAGTTTGTGAATTTAATGAACACCACAGGATGAAAAAAGGGGGAAAACAGCGAAAGAAAAACACCTGTACACTGAAATAAGAAGGTTGATTAATTTAAGAGTACATATGGAACCTGTGCACATAAGACATTGCTTTAAGTTCTCCCTATGTTTTCCAGCGTACTTTGACTTTTTTATTGAAATTATATGATAACAGCCCTTCAACTTTGTATTGATAATTATTTGTTATACTCAATTTTAAACAGGTAATCCGATTCTCCACAATTAAAGGCCCTACCCAACACGAGACAGATCACACCACAGGGACTTATATCACAGGTTGATATGAAGGGAATGTCAGTGTGAGGACCCAGTCTTCACTAAGGGAATAAATGTGTGTTTGGGAGGTATTATAACACTCTGTTTAAGACCGGTATGAGTCTGGGCGGGCGATAATTACCCGAGGCGAAGCCGAGGGTAATTATCGCCCATCCAGACTCAAACCGGTCTTAAACAGAGTGTTTTATACCGACCGAACACACATTTATTCCCATTCATAAATACCTTTTCGGTCCAAAAATTTAAAAAAAATGTCAAAAGCTAGACGTTGCCAACCTTTTTGTTCAACAATTTTACATCATGTTTTACGAAACACCCCTCTGACTATAATATGGAATGCCCCTCTACAACTCGTTACCTTAGAGGGACATTGGCGTGCGCGTCGCGCGTACTGCGCAATGTCGCGCAAAACGCAGCTGGGCAGGTGAAGTGTAAATTTCGGACCATGAAATACTGATTCACTGGTAGTACATTGCACATGCATACGGGATGAATCTGAACGTTCAACCAATGAAACGTTAAAAGGCACCGGGCCTTTTAACGTTTCATTGGTTGAACGTTCAGATTCATCCCGTATGCATGCGCAATATACTACCATTTCATGGGACTCCAAATTTCATGTGACACTGGAAAAGCGTTTAAGACCAGCTAGCCATGTCTTTATCATCCGTTTAAGACCGGCCACGTGACGGGCTCTCTCGACAAGTTGCCGTCTTTATAGACAGCATGATTTCTTTTGTAGCATCGCAGTTCACTTAACTTATATTTTGACCACCACTACTGACCAAGGTTTTATTTTTCTAACGTCGTGGTTTACTTTTTTAATTCCAGCAGTTCACTTTTTCGGCGTTTTGGAAATAATAATCACTACGGAAATGTGTCCTTTTTAGAACATCATGATATATGTGTACGTGACCAAATTGCGCGTCAACTGTTGAATCAACGGTCGCTGTATACGCGTAGAACGTTCGTATTATACGCGGCCATCTTCGTGAGACCGGGGGCGAATTGGTCAATATGCAAAGTCTACTGTGAATGACGTATGGATATCCGCTATCCAGTCTTTATATAGAGATCAGTGAATGTAAAGTATGCGCCGTGAGTGGATTTACTATAGGCACAGACCGAGCGCAACCCAGACTTGGCCAAGTCTACCATAGAAATTATTCGTTATCTTGCGAGCGCGAGTGGAACACGGAATAATGTAGTGCGTCTGTGTCCCACATGCCACGAGGCCGAAGGATCGAGGAATCTAGTTTGCTTGAAGATAAAGAATAATAAGACTAGATTGGCAGTGCATACAGACGCGCGTTCTACCATGGGCGGCGCCATTTTTTAGCGCGTGGGGCATAAGTTGCGTTACGCGCACCTTTTGTCCCGTAGGTTTGTATGGAAAGACATATTTTAATGTCCGCAAAAGTGATATTTTTTACCTGTAGTAGTTATTTCTTCAACAAAATTCGAAATGGGTTATCAAGCTGAATGTTCATTTCGAAGTTTGGTCCATTTTATTTCTCGTATTTATTTCCCGTTTTAAAATGCTGGTGTGCGTTGCTTAAAAAACCCTTGCATCCAGCTCTTTGAGTGTTATTTTCTTCAACAAACAGAACAATTATCATTTTGAACGTCTTAAATCCGTAGGTGTTGCACTGTCCTTTAATTTAAAATCATGGCAACTTTTAAGGGATAACACCCAGAACATTTTTTCTCTCCATTGTCCCTCCTCAGGGTCTGTTATACGCCGTAATCAGATGCAGTTTTGTACTGTTGAATACGGGGGGGGGGGGGGGGGGGATGCATGCCCCTCCCCAGCCCTTGAATTCACTAACTTTGGACCTCTAGTGGCGTATCCAGCATCTGAAAATCCCCAAGAAGGCGCAAGAATCTCACGATGTTGAAAAAAATGGGTACCAAAAGTAAAGCACAATGTAAATAAACTTGAGGAGTTAATTAGGTTATTCAG